AGAGCATGAGAGGGAGGAGGGTCAGAGGGAGAAGCAGACTCCCCGCTGAGCAGGGAGCCCGATGCGGGACTCGATCCAGGGACTCCAGGATCATGAACCTGAGCTGAAGGCAGTCGCTCAACCAACTGAGCCACCCAGGCGCCCCAAGACTACTTGGTGATTTAAAAAACAAAAAGAATTTGTTGCCAGCATTTAAAAATAAGGAGAGTTAGGTCATCAGTGCTGGCTATAAATGGTATTGGTATTGCTATAAATAACTATAAAATCTGAACAAATATATAAAATACTGTTTGTAGACATTCCATAGCAATTATCACAGGGTTGTGATCCTTGAGCAGGGAGGTACTTGAGGTGAGTCCCACCTTCACCTACTTTTTTTTCCTTAAGGCCTTTTCCTGGCTGCAGCACCAGGAAGTGGAGCCCTAGCAGGGTGTGGCATTCTCTTTGGGCAGAGCAGGCAGAGACTCTAAGAGTGTTTGGGACACTAAGACAGCTGCAATATGAGGAGCAGGGTGCTGGAGAAGGGGGAGTCTTGAAGAATGCATCCCAGAATTCTGCCTGGGTATTTCCCTTGAGTCCTAGAGCAACTCCTAGATAGTGTGAACAAGGGGAAAGCACAAGGTAAATAAACACACCTACTGGTCCCAGTATTTGACTACAGTGGGTTTTAGATGAAACCTATATGGCTTAGGTAAACCTTATCAAAGTAAATCCCCTTGCTATTTAGAAGATCAGGACCAGGAGTGGTAGAGAGCATTCTTTAGAAAGTTGAGAGCTGAGCAGATATCCCAGAGCTTAAACAATGCAGGGATAAAATGTTGGACTTTGGGTCTAACCAGAATGATGAGACCTTGGTGAATACCCCAAGCATTTAGAGGAGACATAGAAAGCCCATGCCCTAGGAGTAAAGGCAAAACTAAAAGACCCACTCTAACAAAACTGTAATAAAACTAAGCCTTGATAGGATCAAGATGATGCACTAAAAATTTGACTGCTAGCAAGGGGGAGGGGGTGGGGAAACCTCTGGAAAGACATGGTTCAGAGCCTCTGCATTGTGTCAGACACAAAGATTATTAGACATTCTAAGAAGCAGAAAAAAAAGTGACAAATAACGAAGAGCTTAAAGAGCCAATAGAGGCAGGCCCAGAAGTGATTTACATATTGAAGTTACTGGATAAGAACTTCAAATAACTATAATTGCTATGTTAAAGAAGATAGAGGAAAAGATAGACAAAATAGATGAAAAGGTAGAATATTTCAACTGAAAAATAAAGTTTATAAAGTCAAGTGAAAAATAAGAGTTCACTTAAAAAATCTAGATCAGCTATTGAAAAATTAAAGGGACTGGCAATTGGACTGCCTTTTCCAAAAGCAACAACCTACTAAGTCGACTATCTGCTGCCATTCTGGACATTGAGTACAGTCCCATCCTTCCTGCTTCCCTCATCTGCCTTTCCCACTGGGCCTGCTCCCTACAACCATTGGAATTTGCTCCCCATGTTCCACCGCATAGAGAAAAGCAGGTTTCTAGTACCTGTGATGCCATGTCAGTCGCTAACTCGTGGCATCCTCAGAATAGCATCTTTAGCTCACACTTAACAAAGGCCACAGTAGGTCTTGATTGGGGTGATAACATTATCCTTCTTTTAAAGTAGATCTGACTAAAACCAAGATGACTTATATTAGAAAATATTTTATTTGATTGCTTCTATTTATTTCACTACCGTATCCATTCTCATTCCTCTAAGAAATAACAGTGACCCTGGGTAAAAGAAAACAGACAAAAGTTTCTTTGCAAAATGATTCGAATAGTCCCCTCATTTATTATTATTATTATTTGGGTTTAGTTCAGTTGATTCTTTTTTCTCACCTCTCATCTCTGTGTATTTTCTTTCCTTCCTACATTGAAAAGTTAGGAGACCATCAACCCCTCACCCCAGGACAGGTGAGAGGAAGTGGAGTGTGATGCTTTTTCAGACTCTTGTAGGAGCTGAGACATGTAACTGTATTTAATTTCTACCCTGTATGGTTTATAGGTCTTACTGCCTTCCTTCCCATTTCAGATACAAGACGTTAGCCATTCATTTTTTAAAAAAATTTTTAGCAGTCAATTTTAATGTTAACCAGTATAAAAGTTTAGGAACTAAAAGCAAGAATGTTTATACTTTCAAGTGAGTTGTATCTAGCTGGTTTTGTCAAATTGCCTCCTCTTCCTTCCCTTCTCTCAGTCTTTCTGTGACCTCTGTCATGCATGCTACAAATTCCTCCCATTTTGTCATTTCAAGGGCAGATCAAAGGGCTCGACGAAGGTTAGACAATGATAATTACAACCAATTTTGATTTCCCATCTCGACATAGGAAAACATAGGTCTGATTTTATCTGTTAGAAATATTTGAGACAACAATAAAGACATAATTTAAGAAGAGAGGAGATAACCTGGTGCTGTGCTTTTCTAATGTTAAGTTCTGTGCCCACATCATTAGGGAACAAGGTATATTCTCATTTGTCAGTACAGTGACTTGGATGCTATTTTGGAAAACCCACCTTTTATTCCCTATTATTCATTTTCATTTCACCAACCCTGGGATACTCAGATTTGAAAGCACCAATTCTGCTAAGTTTTGATTGAAAATTTATTTCCATTATTAATCAGCACCACTTCACTCTCTGTTGATTGGAATTTGGACCTTGATTCACCTGGTATGTTCCTAAATCAGAATATGTTCCCCAGTGGGCTCTTACTGTGCTTTATTTGTGGTCTGTTCTATCTTATTTTCAAAACTGGAGCCTGACCGAGAATTAAGCCCTTATGTTTTTTATAATCAAAAGTAAAGAAAATTTTGTTTTCTTAATCCCCTTTCACCATAGTTCTCTGTACCCTAATTTAAATAAATTTTACTCTGTGATAAATATAGTGTAAAATCAGTACACTAGGTTTGTAGCAGATGGCCAAGAGTCAGATGGCTAATCCACTTGCCTTCTTACTCAGATTGTACGTTAGATTACAGTGTATCGTGAGTCCATAGTCCCTTGCTGATGGAGTCTTCTGAAGAGTTTTCCTCCACTTTTATTTGGTCAACTTGCTTAATACAAGATTCTTTCTAAAAGCCAATTTTCTCGAGTTTTAAGCAGTAGGGTAGAAAGAACTATTCTAGGTTCTCTGATAGTTTAGTATTTCCTTTCCTTAAGACTGCAGAGGAAATTTGAGCTAGGTGGGTGCTTTTAAATTAAATCTGTGTAAAAAGATAATAGTTGCATCACCTTTAAAATCAGTGCATGTGTGGTATCCTAATGTTATTTGCGCCTAGTATCAGATATTAGTAATACTATACTACATACTTTGAGAGAGATTCTCAACTCACTTATTATATACACCTCCTACATCTCCAAAACAGGAGTAAGTTTTATTTCCCTCTTTATCTCTCACAAGGCTAAATATATCATTATTGGAGATCCCAGTTTTATCTTGAAGGAGTACAGAAACATTTTTATTATTTCATACAGCTATGTCCATTCCTTTGGCTCATATATAAAAGTCTTTCAATAATAACCAAAATCATTTCTCAATCCATTTACATAGGTATGAAAACCGTACTACCACATCTTGATGATAAAGTATGGCAGGAGAGAACCGAAAATAGTATGTGATGCTCTATATGTGGAATCTTTTCTATGTACAGAATTATTTGCTTTACCACATTTCTGCCTTTTTTTTGGACACATTTATATTTAATGAAATAGATTTTGCACTTACAGCAAGATAAAATAAGAGACCTTAAAAATATATCATTAGAGTAGATTCCCTGGGGACAGTCAAACCAATATATGGACTTCAAAAAATTATTTCTAATTTCTTTAGCAAAAAAGGTGACATATTATTGGAACTTAAATAATTGTATAATACTGTAAAATGCTAAAGAACTCATAGGGAAGGCAACAATCAGGAGTTAAAATGGTTTTCCTGCAGCTGTGGACCCAGAGCCTCATCTGATAATCTCCCACATCAGTTCAGTGTTGTTCTAACAGCTCTAAATGGCTTAAATCTGCAGTCACTAATATTCGTTTCTTTGCCTTATGTTTTCAAGGTATTAATATTAGAACCAACCAAAATCTATCAACCTTCATATTTGTCTATCAACAATGAAGTTGAAGAAAAGACGATATCTATTTGGCATGTGCTTCCTGATGACAAGGTAAATTGTGTAATTATTAAGACAAGAGCATTAATAGTGAAGGACTTTACTTCCAGCGTTTATATATTCCAGTAAATATCTGCATTAGTTAAGAAGAAACAGCTTAACTGTGTATTTATTTTGGCATAAATACATCCTGTGATATAAAATTTGTTAAAGTTGGGTTATGAATTTCACTCATTTAGTAAAACATAACAACTTATTAGGATTTTTATCGTAGATGGCGCTTAAAATGAGATTTCTCTGTTTTGTAAATTCGTGCTATGAATTATGTGTTGGAGAACTGGGACTTAAAATATATGACTTAAAAGAGGCATATCTTATTAACATAAGAATTAAAAAAAAGATGCATATCTTAATTCTAGGAAGCCTATCAGAAGCAGACGACTCTGGTCTTACCCGAGCACGATTATAATTATCATTTCATGACACTGGTTATCTAAGCAGCTGCTCAATTTCAGATTAGCCCCTGGCTCCGTGGGCTGGCACGGCATCAGCAGGACTGTGCTGCCCTGGATTGCAGAGGAGTCTTAAATGCTCTCATTTCTCCCTATAGCAGTCATTTGGATAAACCTTTCCACTTCTGGACTTTATCAGTTTTAGTGCATGTATAAATCCTACTATTTTTTAAAAGTAGAAAAATTGCAAGACCTGATTCCAGTCCATAGGATCAACCACAGAAATGAGAGAACTCTTGTGGCAAAGTAGTTTTGTGGGGCTTTTGGTAATTGTTTTCCAGAATGCCCTCGTAATTCTCCTTAACAATCATCCTTAACAACTCAACAAATATTTATGGAGCACTTACTCTGTGACAGGCGCTCCCAGGCACTGTGTCAGGCACTAGGGAAACAGATGTGTGCAAAATAAGCAAAATTCCTGCTGTCTACTCAGGCAATAAGTAAATGCAATATAGAAGTATATTAAAGGGGAAAATATGGCAGAAAGGGGAATTAGGAAGTACATTTGGAGGCATGGGGTTGCAATTTTTAAAAATATCAATGTCAGTTTTTTTAAAATGTCTTTGAGTCCATAGTCTTGGGTTCAAATCCCATCTCTGGCCTTGGCACCATGGCTTCTCCACGTCGGAGCGTCCTCATCTATAGAATGGGGTAATAATACTATCCACCTCAAAAGGTTGTTGTTAAAATTAAATGAACTATTGTAAGTAGAGTATATTGCACAGAGCCTGGCATGTAATAAAGCTTACTATATTTTAACAACAATAATAAAATGATGGCAATCCACATATGAACTGAACCCTAACATTGAAACCCCAGAACTTAACCCGGCTTGGCTCTTTAGATGACATAGCAGCAATCATTTGGGAGGTTGTTGGTATTTTATTAGGGCACTGTGATATTGTGATTTATAGCAAAAAATAAATATTTGGTCATTTCTGGCACAGATTTCCTAAAGCCCTTAGAGTTTCCTAAGTGCCCAAAGCCATAAAAGTGGTTTTTTGTTATGTTAATAAGGTGACTTTTGGACCCACCTAATGATGAGGCCTGGTTGCCAAGAGAACTAACTATGGGATTAGAGGGTTAGAACTTTCAGTCCCACCCCTTGACCTCTGGGGACGGGAGAGGGGAGAAGTTGAATGGAACTCTAGTGGTCAATGGGTTTAGTCAGTCATACTTATGTCATGAAGCCCCCATAAAAACCCAAAAAGGACAGAGTTCAAAGAGCTTCCAGGTAGGTGAACAAGTGGAGATTTGGAAAGGATGGCAGTCCTAGAGAGGTCACGGAAGCTCTTAGGCCTTCCCCCATACCTTGCCCTATGCATCTTGTCCATCTGGCTGTTTCCTGAGTCATATTTTATGACAAACCAGTAATCTCATAAGTAAAATGTTTTCCTGAATTCTATGAGCCACTCTAGCAAATTAAACACAAGAAGGGGGTCTTTGGAACCCCCAATCTATGGCCGGCATGATGGCAGAACTCTAGGTGGAGTTGTCTAGAGACAAAATCAAGAATAACTAATGTAGGGGTGCCTGGGTAGCTCAGATGGTTAAGTGTCTGCCTTCGGCTCAAGTCATGGTCCCAGGGTCCTGGGATCGAGCCCTGCATCGGGCTCCCTGCTCAGCAGGAAGCCTGCTTCTCCCTCTCCCACTCCCCCTGCTTGTGTTCCCTCTCTCGCTGTGTATCTCTCTATCAAATAAATAAATAAGATCTTAAAAAAAAAGAATAACTAATGTAACTATATATATGTTGTGCACATTGTTTTAAAGTACACAGTGTTTTATTTACATTATTTTAAAGTATATGCCTATATGTTCTCACAAGCAGAAATAATCATCCAATTGAAACTACAAAATCTAAGAGGAAACATGAACATTATCTGGGAGAGGAGATTTTCAAAGGCTTGATTGGAAAGAGCAAGGTTATCCAAGGACACTTGGAAACAGAATGGGCCTAAAGGAATTAGCAATTAGCAGGGCCAGGAAAATGAGTGGACAGCCAGAAGACAGAAAAAGAACAGAAAGTAAGCCAGAGATTTTTGGAAAATAAGTACTATTTCCAGCTAGTTGTCTGGAAGTTCTTCGTTGAATAAAGTTAGCCTTGTATTGACTCTCTTATGTTTTTTGACAGTTGTAGAGACAATTTTTATATTATGCTGAGAAATAAATAAATGAAGATGTAAAAGAGTGCATTAAGAAGGGTTATGGATTTGGGCTGTGAGTTGTCCAGTTTCCACTTTCACCATCTTTTGATCAAGAAGAATTACATTTGCATTGTCCCCACTGTGCTAAAAATTCTCCTTGTTCAAAAATTTAAGCTTTCTTAAATCAGTTTCCATCTTGAATGTTATGTCAGTTTCTTTGCAGACCCTAGTTCTATCCATAGCATGTTCATTACCACTGTCTTTGTCTCTACTGTTTGAAATAGAAGTGATACCATCAGAATGAGGACAAGCAATAAAAATAAGATAATTCTGCTAATATTATGTTAGTTTAAAGCAACTGTAATAACTATAATTAAATAACATAAATAGCAGGGGTATAGATCTGATGTTAAACAAGAAATTGATTCTTTTTGTCATAGAATGGGTTTTTTTTTAAGATTTTATTTTTGAGAGAGAGAGAGCGCCCGCGCATGGAATGGGAGTTTGGGGGAGGGGCAGAGGGCAAGGTAGAGAGAATCCCAAGCAGACTCCCTGCTGAGCTCACAACGCCGACCCCCCCGCCCCCCTCCCCACACCAGACCATGACCTGACCTGAAATCAAGAGTCAGAGGCTCAACCAACTGAGCCACCCAGGCACCCCCGTCGTACAATGTTTTACATTTTTTTCTAAGAATAGAACAGAGAGTGTTGCTTTACATTTATCATGTTTATTTCTTTATTCACTCCTTCTCTCAGGATTTTCACTCTAAAATGTGGAATGAACAGTTACATGAACTAGTATACACTTTATATTGCAAGTGTCAAGACTTTAGGATAATTGTACCAATTCCTCAGAGTCTAAGGACTCTTATTAGGGAGTTGCTCTAAGTCAAGGACAAAATAAATTGAAATCCTAATCTTTTTAACAGTTCTCTCTTTGTTCAATGGATGGTTACTGTTTAAAGTCAAGTTAGTACTTGAAAAAAGTCTGCATGTGCACAGGAAAGAAAAACTTAGATTGAGGAGGAGAAACATTATTTCTAAGATATTTTAAAAGGTTGTTGTTTAGAATCCCTTCCTTTTTTGGAGTCTGAGTGCTCCTGTCCCATCTGGTGGTCTCTCAGGGAAAGGTAACAGGCTGCAGGGTCCCAGTGGAATATGAGCTGCTGACCTCACGCCCGCTCCAGCCACGGCCACTCTGAGGGGAAATTTATGAGGGAATATGTTTACCTCAGATTCTAGATTTTGATGATATGGTAGTCTCATCCATCAAGGATGCTTTTAGCTACAAAACTCCCAACTACAAGTGGCTTAAATGATAAGGAAATGTTGTCTGCCATAACAAGAACTTCTGAGGGGCAGGGGATCATTCTGGGGGTATTTCAGTGGTTGAACAGTATCAGAATTCTGAGGTGGCTTCTCTATATGCTCTTGGTTTTTCTCTCCTTGCCTTAAATAGCAGCTCGAAGCAACAGTTCACACTCAGCACGCAAAGGAAAAGGGTCAGGCCCTCTCCTTTGTAGCATAAATTGCGTCGTGTGTTCATGCCTAAACCAATCACTAGCAAGGAGAATAGACTTATCTCCCCGATTTAGACCAGTCAGTATCCCCCACTCCTAAACATTGCCACCTGAACGCGAACAAAATTCAGCTTTCGTTAGCAAAGAAGGAAAAGCATGTCCGTTGTCTAGGGAACTAACAGTATCTGCCAGTGTGTAACTCCTGCTACTGCCACTTTAGCTCAATATTAACTCCTAGTCCCTACTCTAGGGACCAGGGCATAGGATCTGAGACTAATCAGTTCCTCCAGTATGGTGCTTGTGCTGAGTAAATTAGCTTGAGTGTCCGTTTGGGGCTTGTTGAGGCTAATTATTCCAGCTCTGCTTCTGGCAATCCCTTTCCCCAGATTCCCAGACAGGCCCCGGACCCTTTTACCACAGCTGTTGGCTTGGTAGCTCACCAGCGCCTCCATGTGGTGAGTCCCAGTAGCAAAGGAGCCGGGGAGATCGGCCTCCTTATTCCAGATCACTCCGTGGCAGGCCCTGGGCTTCACACCACTAAAATGGAACATTCGCTGGCAGCACTTGCCATCTTTGAGGAACCTAACATTCTGGAAATGCTGTTCTCCTTTCCTACAAGACCAGCCCAATCAATCTGGGAAATCTCTCCTTGGCTGTTCCCAGAACAGGGCTGAGAAAAGATAGATTTTACCACTGCTGTCTTGTGGGTGTGCACCAGTTGCCCTGTTCGGGTGCACGTTTGCCTAACCGCCCAGTTAGCTCTGCCTTCAGCGGCCACCTCCTGACCCTGGACGCTGCCTTGGAGAGCAGCTCAGTTGCGGGCTCTGAGGATAAGGCTGCATTGTATGCAAGTAGTGTGCGGGTAACGGCTCCAACTCCTGGGTCGCATATATTTAGAAGGTCACCTGAGGCCAACAGGATTTAGAAACAACTTTCCAAATTACCAGCTGAAGCTGCAGGGTGCAGTTTTAATTTAACTCCCTCTGTACTCTGCTGAAGAGAGCCACATTCCAGGAGCACCTTTCCAAGGTCCCTTCCTTTCCTGGGCTGCCCCGCACAACATTTGCTCTGTGTTAATTCAGGTTCCATGACCTGACTGGTGTACGTTGAAACTGGTTTTTTCATACATCTCCTTTGGGCTTGGGAGGATCTATTCTTGTGTTAAGTTGCATGGTCCTAGCAAAGAACTAGGTGCTGTGGATATAAATTGTGGCTTTTTGATTTACTTCAGCCAAAAGGAGAGTTCTGGTCCACCTCAGAGCCACAGGCTTCCTTACCCATTTCAGCCCAGCCAAGACCTCAAGCTCCTGGCAGTATTTTAAGTGGGTGGGTAAGAGCTTGTTTTCCTGGTTGTTTCCCATTTACAAAGTTGAATTGGCAATCTGAATGGACTATTGTACAGCACTCGCTAAACTTGGACATGTGTATCAACTACTTTATTTCCGTTAAAATATTTATGTTGTCAATTCTGTTTTGTTACCAGACATATTTTTATAGGGAATGTGCTCCAATTTGTAATTTATTTAATTTAAAGACATGAATTTAATACTAATTTAAACTTAGCTTTAGTAATAAACTCAAAAAATAAATTGCCACATTTTTTTTCATCTTGGCCTTGCAATCACCCATGTTTATCATATGACAATCAAATTTTTTAACGTTCAAACTTTATTACTGTATTGAATTTTGCATAAATTAGGTCAGAAGACATTGTAGCTATGACGGACACTATTTGCATGCATGTACACACAGACATATTTGCTGTATTATTTTTTGGAGACATAGAACCACCATTTCAGTTTGAAAATTTAACTAAAGATAATTCAAAAATAATCATCTGTAAAACCTTGTAGAGACTTTATTCAAATTAATGTTTTTCTTTCTCAGAAAATAAATATTACTCAGCTATAATAATTGAATTACCTTGATCACTGGGTTTTTTATTTTAAAAATTAAGGCACAACAGTTATTAGGTTAATTTGCTAAAGATCAAGTTTTTAGAATTTAATGACACTGATTCTCCTAGATTCTCTTGGAAGCTGTTTTATTGAAGTACAGAAATTATTAAGCAGTATAAACATCACCCTTGTGGCTTGGAAATGAATTACAATTTCCATCCAGATAATTGGTTCATGAAGAATTATGCACTAGGAAAAATTACTCTGTGTATATTATTTTAAAATAATAAAACAAAATTATGTTATTTTCATTCGGATGACTCAATGTTTGCTGTTCTTGTTGTTCTTCCCCTGTGTTCTAGAAAGGTATACATGAGTGGAATTTTAGTGCTTCTTCTGTCAGGGGAGTGAGGTAAGTGTCCTTGGTATATTTTTTTTACTTAGAAGACAATAGAACTTTTAGTCAGGATTTAAAAGTGCAAAGAACTTCAAGAACACTTCTACTGATGAAAATGCTCAACCTCCTTTTCTATCTCCATTATGAAAACATCTGTAACAAAACTTTGTTAGTTGAACTGACTCTGCCTATCACCTGCTTAAAATATGTAACGAGGGGTAAATGTGGACTGTGGACCAGAATCAAGGTGTAAGTAAAAGTGAGCTATCCGGGTCCTCTCTAGCTGGTTGAGCTGTTGGTTTATGTGATAGGATGGTTTTTAGTCTTTTGATATGCCAGGAACTAATCTATTGTTAGATGGAACCAAAAAACCACATGCCATCGATCAGATTGTGTCCTATAGTTAATGTAACTATTAATGAGACGATAGGGAATTCACTTTTTAAAAACTTTTCCTCGGGTTGCTCTTAATGACATGTTCTTGAGACTACTGTGGCTCACTTCAGTTTGGTTCGGTTCTGACATTGCATCATAATGCCAGTAGGTCAGGAAACGCCATTTCCTGGGATTTAGAAATGAGATTTTTTCCAGAACCAAGAGCCACTGGTTAAACATTTAAATACTTGTTCTATCAAGTTCAGGCTAAACCAACTCCTGGAAATTTCAAACCAAATTACTTCTGTTTACTACTATTTATCTCCACATAATAGAAATGAGAAAAAACAGATTTCTGCAGGCTGGTTACACAATACCCTGTTGCTTTTGGCATATAATAATTGGTTTTGTTGGAGCGTGAACTGGTAGAGCCGTCTGAGTCACTGATAATTGGAGTTTGCCTGGTAAAACCACCTGTTACCTCATGAGTGATCTGCAGAGAAACAAGCAAGATAATGGACTGACTCATTAGAATATCTTTCCGACCCATGCCTTCTCAAATAAAGTTTTACTCTCTTAATATTTAATTTTTAAAACCAGTCATTAACAAGGCAGTCAGTATTTTTTTTTTTAAAGATTTTATTTATTTATTTGACAGAGAGAGACACAGTGAGAGCAGGATCACAAGCAGGAGGAGAGGGAGAGGGAGAAAGAGGCTTCCCGCGGAGCAGGGAGCCCGATGCGGGGCTCGATCCCAGGACCCTGGGACCATGACCTGAGCTGAAGGCAGACGCCTAACGACTGAGCCACCCAGGCGCCCCAAGGCAATCAGTATTTTTAACAATTTTAAACAATTTAGGAAAGTATGGTAATATAAATTCCACCGTATCATATCTATTTTCCAATGAAATTTTTTTAATTAAAGATGGCATCACTACGTAAACCTTTGTTGTGACTCACAGCATATACGTAGAATGCTTCCGTGTGGCTTACTGCTAGTTGATTCAGTTGAGAAACGTAAGCTCCAGTGTGTGATTTCAAAGGGAGCTAACTTTTCTTGGCTGCCTCCTTTATAAAGAGATAACTACAGAAAAAAAAAAAAAAATCCAACTAAGTCAGCAGTTCGTCTTGCATCACCTCAGAACTTCCTTGCTCAGCTCAGTCAATGGACATTTACTGAGCACCAGCTGTGTGTCAAATGTTGAGTCCTATTCTGCTAAAAATACAACAGTGACTAAGACATGAACTCCCACTCTCAAAGAGCTCACAGCCCATCAGTGGAACATTTAACAACTAAGGACAATACAGTCATTATTGAGATGACAGTGAGATGAGCAATAACAGATCTATGTTTAAGGAACAGAGGTGCAAGAGAAAGTCTTTCTGTTTAAGGTAGAAGTGGGGAAGGGAGACAGTAGGATCTAAGCTGGGCCTTGAATGATGAACAGAATTTCTTTAAAAAGTCAAAAATGTTGTGCATTCCAAATTGCAGGAACAGCAGATGCAAAGGCATGAAATAGGGATTGGCAAACTACGGTCCACGGGCCAAATATGGCCCACTGCCTGTTTTTGTAAATAAAGTTTTATTGGAACTCAGCCATGTTCATTCATTTGTGTATTGTCTAAGGCTGCTCCAACAGCCAAACTGAGTAGTTTGGCCTGCAAAGCTTGAAATATTTACTCTCTGGCCCATTACAGGAAATATTTGCTAACCTTTGGCAAAAAACAGCATGGCTTGAGTGGTAGACTCAAAATTACTTCAATTGCTATAAAATCACTTGCTGAGTCAGAACCAAGTGCTGCTCCACATTTCTTCACACCTCTAAAAGCCCTACAACTGATGAGGTGCTTTTCCTGCCTCCACACATTGCCTTTCTAGCTTTGGAGACATTTCATTGTTCTAAAGATGCCACAGAACCAGAATCACAGAGCTCAGTCAGCCAGCTGATGCTTACGCCTTTCCTCCCATCATGCAGTGTGGTGCTGTAGCAGGCAGGACAATTTCCCATGCTCAGTTGGAGGGATACATAGCGGAGGTGTACTGACAGCCCCCCAGAGCGACCCTATCTGCAGATATGAGTAGGAGGACAGTTCTCAGACTCTTAAGTAATTTTAGTATTGTGGTATGGGGAACATCACTTTTTCAAGTGCAATTCATATCTTTTTGTTATAAACAACATTGATATCATAATGGGGATTGGATATAAAATGTATTTATTTTGCACTACACATTCATAGAAGTATTGATATTTCCCTGAATAATTCTTTTTGTTTGTTTCAGTATTTCTAAATTTGAAGAACGATGCTGTTTTCTTTATGTGCTTCATAATTCCGATGATTTCCAAATCTATTTCTGTACAGAACTGCACTGTAAAAAGTACGTATTCGTCACTGTTTAGGGTAAAAAATACTGTTCTTACCTGATCATTATTTTTAATTAATGAGTGAACATGTAGCTCCTGTAAGGAATTCATGACTGTGGTTATATAAATATTTCATTTGGCCTAATAGTTTATAATTATGGGGTATGTTTAACAGAGAATGGGGGGGAGGGCTCTCTTTATTAGCACCACGCTCTAACCAACTGAGCTAACCAGCCAGCTTGAGGGCTCTCTTTAATAAACCATGCTTTTTCTTAGTCATAATTTATTTTTCCACAGACAAAACATTAACCAAGACCTGCCAGTTAATGGCCAACTGTTATGTCTCATTTTTAAGGTGCTCACTTATTGCAATAGATGATTACCAAAATTTTCATTCTTGAATTCTGTGAATAATCTCACTGTTTTCTGCAACAATGGCTCTTAACTCTGATTCAAATTAGAATCAACTGGTGCATTTTAACAAGTGCCTGGGCCCTACCCCTGACTAATTATGTTGGATTTTCTGGTAGGGGTACAGTTCTAGTTAAGAGCCAGTAATCTGATCTACACCCATAAAAGACAGTCCAAAACTCCACGTACTGCACTGTATGCTTGTGTTAACCTCCCTGGGTATATTTCTCTTGAACTAATAATTAAGTACTTCATGTTCCCTTAGGACATAGAGACTGACTGTGGGGATGTAGGCAAGTGAGTAACAATTTAGAAACCGAAGTGCGGGTAGAAGCCAACTTGGACTTAAAATTTTCCTGAGGGTTGTTCTTATTCAAATAGCTACTATCTGACCCCATGGTAAATAACTAATATACTAGTTACAGTATACAGTCAGTTATTTTTATCTTGGTACCAAATAAAATGTTTGTAAATCCATAATTCTATAGTTGGCTATAGAACTATATGGCTATAGTTTTATCTTTATTATTATAAAACAGGTAGTAAAAAGATTTGGAAATAAAAAATAATTCCTAGCACAAATATGGTCAACTTTTCTACTTAAATTCTCGAGGCTACTGATTTGTTTCTATGATAATGATAGCCAAGATTTATGGAGTGCTTACCCCAGATCTAATAACTATTTTAATCTTCAAATAAAAACTGTTAGGTAGCTAATATTAACATCTTCATTGAAAAGAGTTAAGGGCGCCTGGGTGGCTCAGTTGGTTGAGCGACTGCCTTCGGCTCAGGTCATGATCCTGGAGCCCCGGGATAGAGTCCCACATCAGGCTCCCTGCTCAGCGGGGAGTCTGCTTCTCCCTCTGACCCTCCCCCCTCTCATGT